ACCAAATCTCCATATTGATGTTTAAGGCGGGAGATTGCACTTGGATAAGATTTCCCCCCCTAAATTAACTGCCTTTGCGTGAATCTAAAACGCCGAAGCTATTGCAAAATCTCCGCCCCCGGGTGGGCTCGAACCACCAACCTTTCGGTTAACAGCCGAACGCGCTAACCGATTGTGCCACGGAGGCTTCTTTTTCAATGAGAAACATTGCCAATGAAATGGTGTAGGCTTGTTAACCGATAGGCTTTGCTATATTGGAGATGCAGGATTTTCTTTCACGTATTTCGTTAGAAAGTCTCATTTCATAATTCTTAACGCCATTTATCCTCATCTTACTCCGTTACACCGGGAATTAGAAAGATTTTTACATGCTTACGCCTACTATTCCCTATCCTGAAATGCTAACGTAGAAATCTAAATATTACATTTATCATTCATGTAACCACCCCGGTTCGGATAATATTTGTTTATATACGTGTGTATACGCACGATCCGGAACTGAACATGTATGTGTGTGCGTACGGTTTTGTAAGTGTACATATATATGTGTGCATCATATATACACCCATGGATATATATATATATATATATATATATATATATATATATATATATATATATATATATATACATGCATACATATGAACACACGTAATAACGTAGATTATGTATAGTTATGTGGTCATATATGTGTGTTTGATATGACAGCAGGATTTCAGCAGGATATACTCGCAATGAAGTCGCCATACGTTCGCATATTAGAACGATGTGATATATAAGTATGTATATATGTACATATATATATATATATATATATATATATATAATATATATATATATATATAGAGAGAGAGAGAGAGAGAGAGAGAGAGAGAGAGAGAAGAGAGAAAGAGGGAGGGGATAGACAGATAAAGATAGATTGATTGCGTTTAAATGTTAAAATTCTTACTCTCGTGCAATAAAACCTTTACAGTATCGCACATTACCTATATTTCTGAATATCACTGCAGTTTCCACATGGTTCTTTAAATCTAATACACTTATTATTCCTTGGCTCAGTAGCCTACGATGCCACAAAATTCTGCAAGGAAGCAACAACTTTCTCTTTCTATATAGGTGAAAAGCGGTCTGATATACGCACTGCCTTATTTACAGTGCATCAACTATATATCTATACTGATAATTTATGATTGTTAGAGAAATATATGACTAAACAAAGTTTTTTAGTAATTTGCATGATCCAAAAACGTTATCACAGAGTAGACGGGGTAAACCATGGTAGTGAACAGCTGCGTTCCAAGCACTGCTAAACATGCTACCAAGTATTGTAATCTGACAGTAAAGCAATTCAAAATATTACTATTAGATTGGACGTAATATTTAAGAATACTCACCTTTTCTATAATCTTAACATATACACGTATTTTCTTACCATTTTTCATATCAACGTTGGCATGTTAAAGTAACAGCAGAAATAAATATTGCAACGCAGTGTATATCTATAACTTTCCGTATTCTAAATGCTCATTCAAACAAAAGATTTAGTATTCCGCATATTCATGAAGTAAAATCTGATAAAAACGAAATGAGAGAGACTCGAACCTCTAGCACTAAAACTCGATCGTACACTGGGAGTTCCGGCAGAGGGTTGCCTTTCACTTTTTTGCGCAGATGAGAGATCCTGTCTAAAAAAATCAGGGATAAGTATACACTGACCTTATATTATCACTGGTTCATCTCACATTTTCAGTCATCAAGTTGGTGAATCTAACGAAACTACTTTTATTTTTAAATGTTCCAAAACAAGATTTGACCTGGCATCTGTTCCGTGACCTACGTGTGCGAATCCGCTGGAAATGCATCCTTGGTAGCCAGTTCTCGTAATATCAAACAATAAGAAATAAGAATAGATATCACAAAAATATTGTTGCAGTTATCATATTCCCTGTTTATTAATCTAACAAGAAATTATGAATATTTTGAATATCAATTGACAAGGGGAGAAGATATAAAAGAAGTTTATAGTATCCATGAAACGAAGACGCAGCTAACTATACCATGTATATTTCTTCATATTCATTTGAAAGGACTATAAGATTGTATTATGCTTCATTTTTAGGACTAATCAACTGTTTAATATATTTGCAGCGATGATGTAAGGTGAAATATCATGTAACATATAGTAGGTCGGGATTCGATCTGCTTCCATTTCAGAAACCTGTTTTCCAAGCTTCTCCATTTTGGTTTGAGCCATTCTACCTGGGAAACGTCTGTAGCCTAGAGGGGGATCAAATCAGCTTATATGGAAAAGTATTTTCTCAAGGATGCCAATGAATATTATATGACTATCTTTACAATGAAAATGTGATGATAATAAAGCTAAAGAATATACTTAAAATTCATATCTGTTTACACGTGTGTCCAACAACCTTTACGTATGTATTTATGTTTAGCCATGTATATTTGTTCGTGTGCTTATTCATCTGCTTGTCATTACAAATTAACACATACAATAATATGCAAGTGCTAATTAGTATGTATATGTGTATGTGTGCGAGAAAGAGTAAATGTGTATGTCAGCCCCAAATGCTTGCGCATGCATACTTGCGTGTGTACAGATATAGACATGTATCTAGTGTAAACACACACACACACACACGCGCGCACACACATACACATACATTCATGTGTGTATATATATGTACATATATATATTATATAGACTGAACATTATTATTATTATATATCTATATGTATATATTTACATACACGCACACACACACACACACACACACACACACACATATATATATATATATATATATATATATATATATATATATATATATATATATGTGTGTGTGTGTGTGTGTGTGTGTGTGTGTGTGTGTGTGTGTGTGTTTCGTTCGTGTGTAAATACATGTAATTATACATAATATCTAATACACATGTGCGTACACACAAATGCATACACATACATGTACGTACACACACATGTACGTTCATACATATCTGTACGTACACATACATGTACGTTCACACATACATGTACGTACATACACACATATATTTATCTATATATATAGATAAATATTGTGTAACAGAAACACACACACACACACATACACAAATATTTATATGACACACGCATGTATATGTATTATGTATACATATATATATTAATACACATAGAAAGAAACATTGTATTATACTTATATAACCAAAGAAAACATTAACTGCTACTTTTATTGTGACAAGTTATTCATGTTGACGTGTCATTACATTTGAAAATATACATGGAGTTTATTACATCATATTGCTTATGCATTAACCCATATGCATACTAGTATTAAATATCAGATTGTAGCCGCCATATGCTGGTGCTCCATAAAAAGCAATCCTAAATTTGTAATATCTGAGCCCACGCGCGTGTGTATTCGTGTGATGGCTGTTAACACCGCTTATTCTCGATTGTTAGTCGTATAAAGGGGAAACATTTAAATAGTCTACAACTGATGATACCGTGATGGGATTGATAATACGTGAACTATCATAGATAACGTTATAAGAAAATTGTGACAAAAACAAGTAAGCGGCTTTGGAGAAGAATCTCGTAGGATGAAAAATGAAAGAATGTTGACATGTTATAGGTTCAGTTCAGTAATCTTTCACGTATTAACAGATATCAATCCATATTTGCTCTAGCTTACAAAATATAAAATCAGGTTTCGCTATTTTTTCACGGGTCGTAACAAAGTATTCGTCAAACATGATTTTATGACCATCAGTCACGCAAGTCCTTGGTCAGGTATTAAGTGAAAGTTTAGCATCTGACGACAGTAGCAGGAACAACAGTATATGTCACTGTTGGTGAGAGGATGATCATTCAAGGCCAGTGATCACTAATGATAACCCTGACATGGATATACAATAAATCATTCCTTATGACAATTCTATTTGTCTGAACTTTCTATGTGTAAATGTGTCTTAGCAAACGATATAAACATGCTAATCTATACATAACATTTGACGCTTTTTGTAATCGGACATATTAAAATATAAAGTTTATAGAAATAATATTTTAAACAATCGGTTAGCGCGTTCGGCTGTTAACCGAAAGGTTGGTGGTTCGAGCCCACCCGGGGGCGAATGAGAATTGTTGAAAATAATGGATACCGCCTATTTGTAATTCAGATATATATGTACTCTAATATGTTTTCCCATGCGAAGTATGGAAATGCATGATATTAAATTAAGCTCTTGAATGACCGGGCACCAGCGGGGGTAGGGGGCGTGGAGCCCACCTTCGATATGAGAATTGTCAGCCGATTTCAGGAAAATAATGGATACCGGTGCAAGAATTTGCCTATTTGTAATTCAGATATATATGTACTCTAATATGTTTTCCCATGCGAAGTATGGAAATGCATGATATTAAATTACCTTTGCTGAAGCTCTTGAATGTATATATACTCACACAATTGAAATATGAATGATTATCTAAAGATACGGCTTATAATTTCCAGCATGCTTGGTCGTACATAACTGGGAATAGTTTTCCTTCCTTTGCATTTATTTCAAAATACAAAAGATGATAGTGAAAGAACAGCTACTTAAAAAAGCATGAACATTTCTTTACCTTATGGGAACGTTTTTGCCTTTAAGATCTGAACATTAAAGTAACAAATGTATTCATGAGTGATTCCATTTCAGACATATTTCCTCAAAGTAAAATCAGCGCAATCAGCGATGGAGCCTTAAGGTTACATAGTTTTTTTTTCTACGAATGATCCGACGATAAACATGAAATTATCAGACGAATGAGAGTAACTTAACATCTAGATGCCCAGATAACAACTTAAAATTATCAGATGAATAAGAGTAACAGGTACTTCTTACAGTAATTTCAGTAAGGCAAGATAGCAACTTTTGATGTCTAATGTTACCGTAAATCTTCAAACATAAATATTGACATTAATGTATTTTGCCTTGTAATATTTGCCTCCGTAGCTTAATTGGTTAGCGCGTTCGGCTGTTAACCGAACGGTTGGTGATTCGAGCCTACCCGGAGGTA